GCCACAACGCCCGGCTATTTTTTGGTTGCAGCCGTCATTGTTGTTTGGCGGGTCCGGGCTGGGGATTTGAACCCGCCACCTTAGGCGCACGTGGCTGGCGCCCTAGCCCGTTGAGCTATAGGCGCTGAGCCGGATGTTCTGATACCAATTTTTTTTTAAGAATTAAAGGATTTATATGGCCTTTTCTGTTTCTTAGTTGAGATAGTTCATATGATTTCCTCCATAAGGAAAATTGGATTTTAGAGTTTTAATGGCACATTTAGTTACTTATGGATCCCTCTCTGAAAGCTTTTTTCTTTTTTTTTTTTTTTTTGGGGTTTTTGGCCAGGGCCAGGTTTGAACCCGCCACCTCTGGCATATGGGGTCGGCGCCCTACTCCTTTGAGCCACAGGCGTCGCCCCATCTCTGAAAATTTTTATCAAGGAAGATATGAGATGGGAAGGATTAATATAAATGTAACAGACAAGGGTCCACGAGAAATGTAAAATTGGTTTAATGAAGTTAATATTATATTTTAAAAGCTTAAAGAAATACAGCAGAAGAAGCAGGAACAACTGAAGAAACAACAGTTAGAGCAACTGCAAAGATTTATGGAAGAACAAGAGAAACTACTCACCATGGTGTCTGGGCAGCACACACTTCCAGGTATGCTTGGCTTACACAAGGGCTCTGTACCGTGAGAGACAGTTGTGTATATTTCTTAGTTTTAGAAAGGTAACTTCTGATTATTTCTGTCATTCCTCTAGCGTATGTTATAAACTCCAATTTCTTTAGAGGCCAGTCAAGTGAAATCGTGGTGGTGAAATATAACTGGGACCAGTAAGAGTTGTGGCATTCCAAAGTGTGCCTTCCTTGCTTAAAGGCATTCATGTTTGTTTATTTAAAAATAAAAGGTTTAGTGGAAGGAAAGCCAGATTTGATCTACTCGTATCCACCCCCTGCCTTATGAATGAAATCTGTTTGGTATCATAAAAGTAAATCCTATATGTAGGAGTCACTCTGCTCAACTGAAAAACCATACCAAACATATATTCTGTGGAAGTAGGTGACAGTATTCTGTTGTATGCTATATCAGTTAACAGAAAACATCATGTACTAACCAGGGAAAAAACTGTTGAAATGTGCTCTGTGGCAGTGGTTTGAAAACTTTTTGACCACACTGCATAGTAATAAAACATTTAAAATCATGACTTATAATAACAAAGAAATTTTATATTATCAATCCTTATTGGTATTATTGGCATGTAATAACGATATTTTCTATTTTGTTTAATTCTGTGTCATTTTAAAAAAGGCCAGTCATGCCTTATAACATCTGATGATAAAATTATTGATGGATTCTTTCCCACAGTTTGAAAGTTTAAGCTAGAGCAGTATGTTTGTTTTTTGGTACTACCTTTTTTTTTTTTTAGATAGAGTCTCACTTTGTCACCCTTGGTAAAGTGTCGTGATGTTGCTCACAGCAACCTCCAACTCTTGGGCTCAGGTGATTCTCTTGCCTTAGCCTTCCAAGTAGCTGGGACTACAAGTGCGCGCCACAGTGCTCAGCTGTTTTTAGAGACGGGGTCTCATTCTTTCTCAGGCTGGTCTCAGACCTGTGAACTCAGGGCAGTCCACCTGCCTCGGCTTCCCAGAGTGCTAGGATTACAGGTATGCGCCACTGCCCAGCCCAGTACTACCTTTTAAGAGACACATTTACTGATTCAGGACAGTGGTATTCTATTCAGAGATTGCGCTGGGCATTGAGAATACAAAGAAGAAAAATCACTGGCAAATAAATGTAAAGATTGTGGCTAGGTGCAGGGGCAGGGTGGGTGGTGGTCATAAGAAATTGCAAGGGAAGAATGGCTTAGGAAATTTGGGTGTTTATCTTGCAGAATATAGAGAACATGTGGTGTGTTAAATCATTTAAATCTTAAAATAATTGAATGGTTTGAGGTTACCTTATGGAATACATAAAAAGAATAATCAAGATACTTAAATACCAGCAATGATACTTAAGGTATAACCAGCACTATGGTGAAATGGCAGGGAAGTGGATATCAAAGTATTAATGTAAGTACTAGCCATTCAGTTATGGAGCAGTTTGCTTTGGGAGGGTGGTTTTCAAATGTTTTGGACTCCAGGCCCAAAAGCACTCTTTTTTTTTTTTTTTTTTTTTTTGAGATGGAGCCTCAAGCTGTCCCCCTGGGTAGAGTGCTATGGCATCACAGCTCACAGCAACCTCCAACTCCTGGGCTCAAGCGAGTCTCCTGTCTCAGCCTCCCAAGTAGCTGGGACCACAGGTGCCCGCCACAACGCCCGGCCATTCTTTAGCTGCAGCCATCTTTGTTGTTTGGCGGGCCCGGGCTGGGGATTCGAACCCGCCACCTTAGGTGTATGTGGCTGGGGCCTTAGCCACTTAAACCACAGGCGCCAAGCCAAAAGCACTCTTAAATTATTGAGAACCCCACAGAACTTTTGGTATGTGGCTATATTTATTGATAATTTACTAGAAATTAAAACATATTTAAACACTAGTTCACTTAAAATAATAATAAACCAATTACATGTTTTCATAAGCAACATTTTTTCTTTTTTAAGAATTTTCGTCAACCTTCTGTATCAGCTTACTGACAGCAGGCAACTGCCACTGAGAACAGAGTAAGACGCAAATTACGACATCATTGCACATAAAGCACATTTTTAATTAAAACATCTTTTCTAAAACAGAAAAGTCAGTTGAGAAAAATGACATTATTTTTCAAAGTCTCTAACTCCTGGCTTAAAAGAACTCAGCTGATTCTCATATCTACTTTTGCATTCAGTCTCTTGAAGTTTTGGTATATGAAAAAATTGAAGCTTCACATAGAGATATATATATGTATACACACATATATATAATTGGAAAAAAGAGGAGTATTTTTATTTTTTTAAATTTATTTTATTTATTTTTTGGGACAGAGTCTCTGTCACTTTAGGTACAGTGCTATGGCATCATCATAGCTCATAGCAACCTCAAACTCTTGGGCATAAGAGATCCTCTTATGTCAGCTTCCCCTAAGTAGCTGGGACCACAGGTGCCCTCCACAACTCCCAGCTAATTTTTTTTTATTTTTAGTAGAGGTGGAGTGTTGCTCTTGCTCAGGCTGGTCTTGAACTCCTGAGTTCAGGTTTTCCACACATCTTGGCCTCCCTGAGGGCTCAGATTATAGGCGTGAGCCACAACGCCTGACTAAGAAGAATATTTTAATAGCCTTTCAGTACTTATGGCTATTCTTCTTTGATTACTGTACCTTCACAAGTAGTCATTTCTTAGCAGTTATGGAATCTGAAACCATATTAATGAACTTTTAGTATGTACTCTATTACATTAAATATATTTAACAGTTAGATAACATATAATTACTAAATTAATACAGTATTAATTGTACACAAATTTTATGGCCACCCTGTATATTCGATATCTTGACATTTTGAATGGATTTTTTTTTCTTTTTGAGACAGTCTCTTGGTCTGTTGCTCAGGCTAGAATGCCATGGTATCACAATCACAGCTCATAAAACCTCAACTCCTGGCTTAAGTGATACTTTTGTCTCAGCTACCCAAGCTGCTATTACTATAGGTACATGCCACAACACTCAGCTAGTTTTTCTATTTTTAGTAGAGGCAGGGTCTCACTCTTGCTCAGGTTAGTCTAGAACTCCTGAGCTCAAGGGATCCTCCTGCCTTGTGCTAGGATTATAGGTGTGAGCCACTATGCCCAGCCTAGAACGGATTTTTTTGATACCATTTTCTAATACTTTGGTCATTTGGAAAATAATGGTTCACTGAGTCAGATAGTTCTTGAAAATCTTGACATACACATATTTCATCATACAATATCAAAAAATTATACACTCATTAATATCACCACCAATCACATCTTTAAAACATTGTTGAGCTATCAAGCTTATGGTGGGGGATATGTTTTCCAAAATTTAAATTTTTATTTGAAAGTTCAAATTTTATTATTGAGCAGATACTCAGAATTGTTTTCTTTGAAGTCATTGGCTCACTTGTTTTCTTTTTAAGAAAATGTCTGCCAAATACCCAGATTTAAATAATCATAATCAGGCCTGGTGCTGTGGCTCACGCCTATAATTCTAGCTAGGACTGTGGAAGGCTGAGGCAGGTGGATTGCTTTAGCTCCAGAGTTCGAGAATAGCCTAAGCTAAGAGTGAGATCACGTCTCTACTAAAAATAGAAAAACTATTTTTAGTTTTAGTGGGGAGGGGGTTATGGTGGACACCTATAGTCCTAGTTACTCAGGAAGCCAAGGCAAGAGGATTGCTTCAACCCAAAGAGTATGAAGTTGTTGTGAGCTGTGATGACGCCACGGTACTCTATCCAGGGCAACAGAATGAGACTCTTTCAAAAAACAAACAAACAAATAAAAAAACCCCGAAAAGAAGTGGCTAGTTGTGCTTGCAGTTAATGACAAAGCCACATCTTCATCTGCAACAGCAGTAAATTGTGTATACTTCCCATTTTGTCCCATAGAATATGCTCAATGGTTGAGGTTTAATAAAAATTGACTTTTGCTACTTTATTAGAACATTGTTAAGTAAAACTTGTTTTTTAAACTATGAGTTCATGGTGGTGACAAATATGGTGACTACTAGGACTCGGGTGTTGCTGTCCAGCTTTGAGCAAAGGCTCTAGTAATTTTTCATTTTGCTTTTGCATAATCGGTACATATTCTCTGAAAATAAATTTTTTTTTTTTTTTTCAGTTTTTTTCGCCAGGGCTGGGTTTGAACCTGCCACCTCCGGCATATCGGGCCGGCGCCCTACTCCTTTGAGCCACAGGCACCACCCCACTCTGAAAATAATTTTGACCTGGTGGATGCCCTGTAAAAGTCTTGGAGACCTGCAAGGGAATAAAGACCACACTTGGAGAACAGTGCTTCCTCAAAGACCTCTTTAGGCTGAAGTGGGATGACTGCTGGTCAAAAATATTTACATTGGGGGGTCAGCGCCTATGGCTCAAAGGAGTAGGGCGCTGGCCCCATATGCCAGAGGTGGCAGATTCAAACCTGGCCCTGGCCAAAAACTGCAGCAACAACAACAAAAATTTACATGGGGGGCTTGGCACTTGTAGCACAGTACAGCCACAGTACAGTCTCAGCCACATACACTGAGGCTGGCGGGTTTGAAACTGGGCCTGGCCAGCTATACAACAATGACAGCTACAACCAAAAATAGCTGGGTATTGTGGTGGGTGCCTGTAGTCCCAGCTACTTAGTAGGCTGAGGCAAGAGAATAGCTTAAGCTCAAGAGTTTGAGGTTGCTGTGAGCTGTGATGCCATGCCACTGTACTGAGGGCGACATAGTGAGACTCTATCTCAATATATACAATATATTGTATACATATATATATATTTTTTTATATATATTTTTTTTCTTTTTCTTGGGGAAAGGTGTTGCTATGAAGGAAGGGAGGTTGAAGCTGATGTTCAGTGAGGGCTTGCCTCATTTTCACATTTTACTTGTGGGCTTAGGTGAGGTAGATGAATGACAGGTGGCATTGGCTATTGTGTAAATAACTTCCCATTGAGTCTTCACTTCTAAATTTAGGTGAGACAATCCAGGAGAGTTGGGCACTGGCAATAGGGCTCCCAGCAGCATAGCAGCCCTCTAAGTGGTATTGTTTAGAGATGAAGAGAAGGAGCACCTTTTCTCTTCATTAGTTCTTTCAAAGGCAGAGACTTAAACAGAAAGTAATACAGGGAACTTAGAAACTAAAGAAAAGTATAAACAGGAAATATCCATAATTTTTTCACCACCAGATGATACTAAAATGTTAAGGGTAGAGGAAAGAATAGTTATTGGTTATTAGAAGACAACTCAGGCTCGGCACCTGTGGCTCAAGCGGCCAAGGCGCCAGCCACATACACCTAAGGTGGCGGGTTCGAATCCCCAGCCCGGGCCTGCCAAACAACAATGATGGCTGCAACCAAAAAAATGGCCAGGTGTTGTGACGGGCGCCTGTGGTCCCAGCTACTTGGGAGGCTGAGGCAGGAGACTCGCTTGAGCCCAGGAGTTGGAGGTTGCTGTGAGCTGTGATGCCATAGCACTCTACCCAGGGGGATAGCTTGAGGCTCTGTCTCAAAAAAAAAAAAAAGAAAACAACTCAAATCATTCACATAATGATCTGCATTGGTGCTTCTTGTCTAACACAGAATTGACACCTGCATGTTCTCACAGGTGGAACAAGAATAAACTGCAGAGTTAAGGTGGAGTTGTAGCTCTGCTAGGCCCATGCTGTCTGCATGAAAAAGTATAGTTTAAATATATTATTGCTTAAAATTATATGAAGTTCACTTTGGAATTTGGAAGTTTCATGATTTTGTTAAACAGTTTCCTCATAAGGAGAAAGAATATTTTTTTCATTGTGGGGTGGGGTCATTACTGGGCAGAGAAGAGAAAATGTGGAAGGACATCATCAGCTTTGTTGATTTTCTTATTTGTAAGGTTTGGCTTTATTGCCTGATGATCAGAAGCACAGATCTCCAGGAAATTCAGCTGCGGGGGAGAGAGCCCTGCCCTTCTCACCATCGCATGTCTGCCGGAATCAAACCCAAGAAAAAACACACTCTTTGAATATTTTATCTGACAAACAAAACAATTTCTGTAGAGCTACTCATCAAGATTTTGTCTTAACTTCAAAATGTGCACAGTATCAAGAAGCACTTACGAAAAAAAATGATTCAAAGGAAGAAAACCATAACTGTCCTAAGGGTGAGCTACTTTCTTCTGTACTTGACTAACAGTGTTGCCAAGTTGTCCTAAGACAAGAGAAGGCCTTCCCGTGTGTCTTTGATTTTTATTTGTTTTCTTTCTTTTTCTTTTCTGGATACAGATTCTTGCTATGTTGCCCAGGCTGGACTAAAACTCCTGCCTTCAAGCAGTCCTCCTATTTCAGCTTCCCAAATGTCTGGGACTACAGGTGCTCTCCACTGTGCCCATCTCTTTCTGTATTTTGGCTTTTTTCCATGTGCCTTATAGCTTTAATTATGAGGTCCCATGTGCTATATATAGCTGCTGAATTTGGCCTGGATTCAGAGCTGGGCTAGGATTTGACTTTCTAAGCATAATTGCTATGCTCATGTTAACTTCAAACTTTGTATGGTTGCATGAAAGGGTCTTCAGAAAGGAATGCAGCGAATTCTGCATGTATCATTTTTCTTAGAGAGCTTAAAATAGCTTGAGGTTAATTTAAAAATATGTGTGGTGTGGTGGGGGACCTGTTAGAAGATATGAAATAAGAGAAATAGGTTGGTGATAGGAGTTGCTACTAATAAAAGAAATTTCCTCTAACCTAGATACTTGGGTAGTGTTCACTGTTCTTCTATATTCTTAGCACCCAGGATGTTCCTGCCAGAGAACTGGTGCTATAAAGAATTTAATGCTATAAATAAGCTCCATGGAGGACTCTCAGCACTTTTGGTGTATTTTTTCTTTTCTTTTTTTTTGAGACAGGAGCCTTAAGCTGTCCCCCTGGGTAGAGTGCTGTGGCATCTCAGCTCACAGCAACCTCCAACTCCTGGGCTCAAGCGAGTCTTCTGCCTCTGCCTCCCAAGTAGCTGGGACCACAGGCGCCCGCCACAACGCTCGGCTATTTTTTTGTTGCAGCTGTCATTGTTGTTTGGCGGGCTGGGCTGGATTCGAACCCACCACCTTGGGTGTACATGGCTGATGCTTTAGCCACTTGAGCCACAGGCGCCGAGCCTGTATTTTTTCTAGTCTTTTTTTTTTAAGTCTTATTCCTGCCTCATTCCTCCACCTCCCTCCTTTTTTTCATTGTTGCAAGCATAAAATTTCGTGTAATAGTGTTGTGTCCTTTTCCTACTCAACATGAAAAATTCTTATTAGCATGTGCTGTAGTCTTCATAACCATAATCTTAGTCTTCATAACCATAATCTTAGTGTTTGTCATTATTATGTTAGTCTTGAAACAATATATTAGTATTTTATGTTCTTTGTAGTAGGACAGAATGGTCTCTAGTATTTTTAAAATTTAATTTAGTTTTTAATTTTAAGGGTGTTTTCATGAAATGTGCTCTTTCTTTTCTTCTCTTCTTTTTTATTTTTGAGACTGTCTCACTCTGCCACCCTGGGTAGAGTGCCATGGCATCACAGCTCCTAGCAACTTCAAACTCTTGGGCTTGATCAGTCTTGCTTAGGCTGGTCTCAAACTTCTAAACTCAAGCAGTCCACCAACCTTGGCCTCCTAAAGTGCTAGGATTACAGGCGTGAGCTACTACACCCAGCCTGAATGTGCTCTTTCCTGTTAAATTACAGGAAAATAAAATAGTATAACTAAAGGTTTCTCTACTTAGTATTTGGTGTTCAACACCTTTGTGTATAATTCCTTATTCCTAATTTAGATTTAATTCCTTGGTATGAAATGCTTAAATGTCTTTTTCTTTTTTTTTTATATATAATTTACTTTCCTAACTTTATTTTGGAAAATTTTAAATATTTAGATTGCAGTGTTTTCCAATAAACCTACTACTTAGCTTCAGAAGTTAATATTTTGCTGTATTTACTTTTTCAATGTATGTGTATATATATGTGTATGTATATATATATATATATATAAAATCTGTATTTATATCTGTATAATTTGTAAGACATTTCACTGAAAGTAACATGGAGGCATATTACTCGTTTCATTTATTTCAATATGTATCAAGTAAAAATTAGGGCATTCATTTATGTAACCACAATGTGATTGTTATACTTAAGAAAATTAATAATTCAAGTCCATTTTAGAATTCTTCCTATAATTCCAAGAATGTTTGTTTTTTGTTGTTGTTGTTAAGCAGGACAGGACCAGTGCTCTAAGCACTGAGCTGCAGGCACCTAGCTCCAAGAATGTTTTTAAAAATGTTTTTTAAAAATGTTTTTTAAAAAAAACCAGAATCCTGGTGGCACCTGTGGCTCAGTGGGTAGGGCGCCAGCCCAATATACCGCCAGTGGCGGGTTCAAACCTAGCCCTGGCCAAATGGCAACAACAAAAAAAATAGCCGGGCACATGTAGTCCTAGCTACTTGGGAGGCTCAGGCAAGAGAATCACCTAAGGCCAGGAGTTGGAGGTTGATGTGAGCTGTGTAATGCCATAGTACTCTACCGAGGGCAATAAAGTGAGACTCTGTCTCTATTAAAAAAAAAAACAAAAAAAAAACAAAACTAGAATCCAATAAACTTCATGCATATCTGGACAAATTCATGCTTTATGCTTGGTTACTTCTTTAATCTTTTTTTTTTTTTTTTGGTAGAGACAGAGTTTCACTTATAGCCCTCCATAGAGTGCTGTGATGTCACAGCTCACAGCAACCTCTAACTCCTGGCTTAGGTGATTCTCTTGCCTCAGCCTCCCGGGAGCTGGGACTACAGGTGCCCGCCACAATGCCTGGCTATTTTTTTGTTGTAGTTTGGCTGGGGGTGGGTTTGAACCTGCCACCCTTGGTATATGGGGCCAGCACCCTACTCACTGAGCCACAGGTGCCGCCCTCTGTAATCTTTTTTTATACTAGAAAAGTCCACACCTTTCTTTTTTTTCATTACACTAAAAGAATGTGAAGTCTTAACTGGGTTTGGCAGTTCTTTATCATATTAAAGAAATCCTTGAGTGTTTCCAAATTTTTTACATGCATTACTTTTATTTTATTTTTTATTATTTTTTAAAATTTCAGAATATTAGAGGATACACATATTTTGTTTACATACTTTGTTTTATGTACAGATTAAGTCAGAGTTCTACATGTGCCCCCTGATGCAGATAGTGGGTGCTATTTACCCATCCCTCTCCCCGCTGCATCCCATTACTTTATTTTTTATGTCGCCCTCAATAGAGTACTGTGATGTCATAGCTCACAGTAACCTCCAACACTTGGGCATAAGCAATTCTCTTGCTTTAGCCTCCCAAGTAGCTGGGACTACAGGTGCCTGCCACAATGCCCAGCTATTTTTTGGTTGTAGTTGTCATTGTTGTTTGGTAGGCCAGGGCTGGGTTTGAACCCGCCATCTCTGGTGTATGTGGCTGGTGCTCTAGCTCCTGAGCTATAGGCTCTGAGCCCATGCCATTACTTTAAATTAAAATTCTTTTTAGCGTGGTAACTTTTAAAATTCTCATATTTTAAAATTTTAACCTGTTTTTTTGTTTTTTGACCTAAATTTTTCCTAATTTTTATCTTAGGAGAAGGAATTTTATCATGTTGGGAGAAAATTACAGAACAGATTCAGGAAGGAAACGATGTGAGCTTGAAAAAAATTGGTGACTCCTTGGAAGTGGTTAATATTGAAGAAAGGTATTGTTCACGTTGAAAGGAGTAAAAATGTAATGGTTTAATATAGTCTTTATTATTGAGTACTTTCTTTGAAAGATCTATGCTTTTTGTGTTTTTGCTTGAATATGCTTTTTTTTTGATATACCATGTTGACACTAATTAATCTCTTAGATATACTTTTTATAGTTTCTTTTGTTTTTTGGCTGGGGCCAGGTTTGAACCCTCCACCTCTGGTATATGGGGCCAGTGTCCTACTCCTTGAGCTACAGGCACCGCCCTAAATATGCTTTTTAAGTATGCGGTTGAAGATACAACCTATCACATACTGTTGACAAAGGAAGAGGTTGGGGAAGTACATCAAAGTAGCTTTGACATTTACTTTTTTATTTAAGAGAAACATTTGTATAAAATTAATCTTCTCTCAAATAGTTAAATCCTGTTTAGAAAAAGAAAACTAAATGTTGGAGTCATAATTGGTGTCATTTATAAATTATAACTGCATAGTTAATTTAGTTGTAGAATTAAAAATGTTCTGGCAAAGATAAAGTATTTCACTTTTTAAATAGGTTATTATTTTCTTGTATATTGGAAATATATATATATTTTTTTGAGACAGAGTCTCAATATGTCATCCTTGGTAGAGTGCTATGTTGTCACAGCTCACAGCAACCTCAAACCCTTGGGCTTAAGTAATTCTCTTGCCTCAGCCTCCCAAGTAGCTAGGACTAAAGGCGCCTGCTACAACGCCCAGCTGTTTTCTTGTTGCAGTTGTCATTGTTTTTATCTGGCCCAGGTCGGGTTCCAACCCACCAGCCTCAGTGTTTGTGGTTGGTGCCTTACCCACTGAGCTAGGTGCCGCCTATATTTGAAATATTTTAATGTATTGGTATGGAAAAAATGACTTTTCTGATATTTATTCTATTTACATTGTAAGGACCTTTCTTTTTTTTTTTTTTGAGACAGAGCCTCAAGCTGTTGCCCTGGGTAGAGTGTTGTGGCATCACAGCTCACAGCAACCTTCACCTCCTGGGCTTAAGTGATTCTCCTTCCTTGGCCTCCCAAGTAGCTGGGACTATAGGCACCTGCCACAATGTCTGGCTGTTTTTTGGTTGTAGTTGTCATTGTTTGGTAGGCCTGGGCTAGATTCTGCCTTAGCTGCTTGAGGTATAGGCGCCGCACCGTAAGGACCTTTCTTAATTTAAAAATTGTGTGCATATTTTTGAAATATATTTTAAAGTTATATAATAAGTATGTTCCTCCAAAAGTTAATCTACAGTTAGTAGATGGTCTTCAGAAAGGTTTCCTAAATCATATGCAGTGTTGCATACTTCTTTATTTTGGGGTTGGCAGAAGATTGTAGCTTAGATTCTTCAAGGGAGTCCCTGACATTGTAAAAGGTTAGTTCTCAGCATTGTCAAGAGCATCTATATCAGGCATGCTAAGTGTAAAATATTCACGTTATGATTTGCATATTAGATAATTGTTTTTATTATTAGGCCTATTAAAGCTGCTATCAGAGAACGGAAACAGACATTTGAAGAGTACTTAGAAGAACAAATTCGGTTGGAAGAACAAGAACTGAAACAAAAACAGCTAAGGGTTAGCATTTGCATTACTTGATTAATTTATTCTAAGGCTTTAGAGATTTATTTATAATTTACTTTAAAAATATCTTTGAGATTACTTGAGTATATACCAGAATTAATTCAAATGTTGTCCTTTTATTTTAGGATGCAGAAAGACCATCGCTAATTAAAGCAAAACCCAAACAGCCATTCTTAAAACGAGGAGAAGGTTTAGCTAGATTTACTAATGCTAAATCTAAGTTTCAAAAAGGAAAAGAAAGTAAACTCATGACTGACCAGAGCACTGCAGAGGACCAACCTCTGTTTAAAATAGATAGACAACAATTACAGCGGAAAACTGCTCTTATAAATAAAGAACTGTGTGCAGAGCACCCTACTATTAAAAAGGACAATAAAGGTAGAACCAAGATTAGTTCTGCCACCCTCAGTCAGAAAGTGCTTAAGAGTAATAATAGGAAAAATTTCTCTCCATCAGGATTGAAAATACAGACCTGGAAAAAATGTGATGGGCAATTCAGAGATCAGGTCAAATTCGAAAAAAAAGTTGAAGCTAATAATAAAGAAAATGTACCTGAGTATACAAAACCTGGTGATACTGGTAGCAAAATGTGGAATAAGACACAAAGTAAAGATAGACTTCCTCTTTCACCAGGGCCTGTCAGCTGTGCGGCTTCTAAGAGCTCAAAAAGTGAAATCATTAAAGAGGTAGAATCTTCTCTTGATATTTCTCTTCAGAAAAAATTAGAGACTTGGGAACGAGAAAAGGAAAAGGAAAATTTGGAATTAGATGAATTTTTGTTTTTAGAAAAAGCTGCTGATGAAATATCATTTTCTAGTAATTCCTCGTTTGTGCTGAAAATCTTAGAAAGGGATCAGCAGAACTGCAGAGGTCACCGAATGTCTTCCACCCCTGTCAAAGCTGTACAACAGGAAAAGACTGTGGCAGATCCCATAATTCAGTGTAACCACAGTGAGGATCTGGATCATAGTGTGTGTGAGAAGAAGAGTGAGTGTGAGGTGATCCCCAAGCAGCTTGGCTCTGTGTCCTCACCTGATGCGTTGATGAAACAGTCTTGTGGAATCAATAGGAAAGCCTTCCAAAAGAGCATTTCTGAAAATCAGACTAGATGGAATGCAAGTGATGATGAAGGTGTTACAAACAGTGACAGTAGCACTGAATCTGAGGAACAGCTTGATGTTACCATAAAACCATTGACTGAGGTTAGAGAAAGAGGTTTTAGCAGCAGAGAGGATAGTCCACACGTCTGCGATAGCAGGGGGCCTTTTAGGGACACCAAGACACAAGAAGATAAAAGAAGAGATGTTGATCTGGATTTGTCTGATAAAGATTATAGTAGCGATGAGTCTATTGTAATGGAAAATGTAAAACATAAAATGTCTGAGTCCTCAAGAAGACCCTCATCTCTAAGTATTAGTAAAATTGACTTTGATGATGAAAGAACGTGGACTGACCTTGAAGAGAAGTCATGCAAGCATGCTATTGGAGATGAAGCCATTTATAGGACACCCCAGACACATTACCCTAATAAGAGTGAAATGTGTGTCCTGGACAAAACAGTAAAAAGGAAGGTTGCACCAGTCAAGAAGGGAGAAGACTTGAGCAAGTCCAGGAGGAGCGGAAGTCCTCCTCCTCCATCGGAGTTGATGGTAAAATTCTTTCCTTCTTTGAAACCGAAACCAAAGTCAGATTCATACTTGGCAAATGCACCCAAGTTAAACATAAGTCAAGACCAATCACCTGGTGAGTAGGAGCATTATAAGTATGGGTCGGAATTACGAATTTAGTATTTATTTTATCAGTATGTTGTCAGAATGCAGAAGATTCTAACTTGTTGCTTCATCAAGTTAATGGGTGATTTGTAAAAATTTGATTTATTTTGTGGATCTAAATAATGTAATAGTCACTAGTGTCAGAGATTCTGGTGAATAGTGTTCAGAGTTTTCTGACTTAAACTTATGTTTTAACATTCCCATGGCTTTCAAATTATCACTTTATTACAAAGATCATACTTGTTTCAAAGTTTCCCTTTTTTCCCCCCAGACCTGCTCCTAGTCCCCTAAAGATAGTAGCATTGTCATTTCACTTGTATATTCTAGAGAGGTCACTATTACAAAAGTGTGTGTGTATAATTTCTTTTTTACATACATGAAAACGTACTTTTTGCGTGTCTTTGAAGATTGTTCTTGTGCATATATACATCTGTCTTATTCTGTTTAATGACTGTGTAGTATTCATTTGATGTGATGGATTTTAAAATTCATGCTAAAATACTCCTTTTCCATTGTATTATGTTACAAACTTTGAATGCCTATCAGAACATAAGTGCTTTAAAATATAAATTATAACTTAAACCTTAAGCTATTTTTTAAAAATTCTAATTTTTAAAAGTAATACTTTTTGCAGAAAGCTTTGAAGTGTAAAAACTATATTAGCAAAAATATTTATAACTATCGCAATGGTAACTGTTATGCCTTTTTGGGATATTTCCTTGCAGTCAATTTTCTTAATTTATTTATGGTATGATAGAGATATATATTGTAACTTGTCTCAGCCTTTCAGCCTTGTGATAAGGATCTGATTTATTTTCCACAAGTGGTAACCAGTTGATTAAGTGTTTGTTTTAGTTGATGACAGAAGCATTGGCTATTTTACTTTTTTAAATAGCAAATTTGATAAGGGAAAAAAATGCATTTCTTTGATTTGTTGTGGAAGGGTGTAAACTGTTTTTGGGTATCGTAATTGATCTTTTAGTCTTTGAAGCTCTGGTGAATTATTTGTTCATACTCTTAAGCTATTTGTGCAAACATATAGTGGTCTTTTTTTTTTTTTTTTAGAGACAGAGTCTCACTTTGTCACCTTCAGTAGAGTGCTGTGACATCACAGCTCACAGCAACCTCTAACTCCTGAGCTTAGGTGATTCTCTTGCCTCAGCCTCCCGAGTAGCTGGGACTACAGGTGCCCGCCCACGCTTGGCTCTTGTTTTTCCTTGCAGTTTGGCCGGGGCCGGGTTTGAACCCACCACCCTTGGTATGTGGGGCCGGCACCCTACTCACTGAGCCACAGTTGCTGCCCCCATAATGGTCTTTTGAAAAATTGATTTGAGTGATATCATGTTGATTCTTTGTCTAGGTGATACTCTTGAGGTAGAATAATTTTTTTTCTTTTTCTTTTTTTTTTTTTTTTTGCAGTTTTTGGCCAGGGCTGGGTTTGAACCCGCCACCTCTGGCATATTGGGCCAGCGCCCTACAACTTTGAGCCACAGGCACTGCCTGAGGTAGAATAATTTAATTCTTTCTTAAATTTAGACTGATTTTCTCTGGAAAGTTAGGACAATTTAATTTTTAACCTTTTTGTTATTTGAACCATTGTTTCTAAAGGTACATATATGTATTTGCTGCTGTAAGGCATTTTGTGAAGTTCAGTATTTGTGGACTGTTTTTTAGGTGACAGTGCTCGATCCCAGGTTTTGAGAGAGAAAGTTATTGAATTGGAAACAGAAATAGAAAAATTTAAAGCTGAGAACACATCTTTAGCTAAACTTCGCATTGAACGAGAAAGTGCCTTGGAAAAGCTCAGGTACGTTTACGTCTGTAAATTGGGAAACATACATGTATACAGTGATTCAGTGGTATCTTTAAAACTATATGTAAAAATTTGAGCCAGGCAAGTGGCACATGCCTGTAATCCTAGCACTCTGGGAGACTAAGGCTAGAGGATCTTTTGATCTCAGGAGTTCAAGACCAGCCTGAACAAAAGCAAGACCAGACTCCACTAATAATAGAAAAATTAGCCAGGCTTGGTGGTGGCCTGTAATCTCAGTTATTTGAGAGACTGAGGCAAGAGAATCTCTTGAGCCCAAGTGTTTGACGTTGCTGTGAGCTATAATGATGTGTGCATGGCACTTTACCCAGGGCAACAGAGGGAGACTCTGTCTAAGAAAACTATATTTGAATTGCTTTTTTTTTTGAGACAGAGTCTCATTATGTTGCCCTCAGTAGAATGCTATGGTGTCACAGCTCACAGCAACCTCAAACTCTTGGGCTTAAGCGATTCTCTTGCCTCAGCCTCCCAAGGAGCTGGGACTACAGGCGTCTGCTATAATACCCAGCTATTTTTTGTTATAATCGTCATTGTTGTTTAGCAGGCCTTGGCTGGGCTTGAACCTGCCAGCTTCAGTGTATGTGGCCGGCGCCCTGCTCACTGAGCTATGGGCACTAAGCCTATTTGAATCATTTTTAATCAATCCAACAAATATAAATGAAAAGGAGGTGAAATCTATGTAAGCAATTCTCTTGCCTCAGCCTCTCAAGTAGCTAGGACTACAGGTGCTCGTCATAATGCCTGGCTATTTTTTTTTTTTTTTTTTTGGTTGCAGTTGTCATTGTTGTTCAGCTGGCTGAGGCCGGGTTCGAACTTGCCAGTGAATCCACCAGCCTTGGTGTATGTGGCTGGCACCATAACCACTGTGCTATGGGTGCTGAGCCTATATAATTTTTTTATTAAATAAAATGGCCCAATGTAGTAAAAAAATTGTTAAAGGGAGAATTAGTTTCCTAAGGCTGCTGTGACAAAGTACCTATAACCACTGAGTGGCTTAAAAAAATGGAAATTTATTTTCTCTTGGTTCTGGAAGCTAGAAGTCCACAGTCAAGGCATCAGCAGGGCTATGCTACTACTTCTAGCTGCTGGCAATTTTTGCTGTTTCTTGGTGTGCAGCTACATCTCTCCTAATCTCCAGTGTTTTGCTCATATGGCCGTTTTCTCTTTTTGTCTGTGTCTTCACATGGCATTCTCCTGTATGTATGTGTCTATCTCTGTATCTCTTCTTTTCTCATAAGGACAGCGTTGTATATACCCTACTCCAGTGTAACCTATCTTAACTTTCATCTTAGTTATACATGTATCTGCAGAGACTCTTTTTCTAATAAGGTCACATTCACAGGGATTAAGACTTCAACTT